TCGTAGTAATCACAGATTTTTAAAAATGCTTGTGTAAGTGTGTGTGTGAAAGTAGTTTTTTCGTTTTTGTTTTTAACTAGGACGAAGATGCACAGTTCAATTTTACTGCCCCCAGCGTGCATTAGAACTGGTACAGAAATTTTTGTGGTACTAAGTGGGGCTTTGTGCTAAGTGCCTACTAGAGATGCACTGTGGGTTTTTCCCTCTCTGGAAAACACGCCAAGCTTTGTTTGTTCAATATATCATATTTATCTCAGTGGGTTAGCTTCCTCTGCTTACAGCTTTTTATAATTCTCCTCGCCAGCAGAATAGAACTGATTTTTTTTTCCAAAGTACATAAACTGTAAGTACCACATCAACTGAATTGCATTTATTTTTTGAAAATCTTTGGTAGTATAGTATAGTACCAATATTTATTTTTTGAAAGTGAGAGGAATTCTAAGAAGTCTTAAATATTTTTTTTTTGTGTGTGTAAAATATGTTGCCATGTTCTGGGCTAAATTAATGTATGTTGATTAGATGATGCCCATATAATCCTTTTGTTTGCATTACTGTTGTGCTTATCTGACATACTCAGAAAATTAGTACTATTTGTACTGTAGTAGAATATAAAGTACGCAGGTTTTCTGGTACCATTGAGTTGCTGCTATAAAAAGCTCACACATGAAATGACAAGAAGTCACAGTACTAACAAGAAAACTGTATGACTGTGTGAGTTTTGGAATATAACAAATGTATAAAGGGCAACACATTAAGAACTGTTAAACAGTGTTAAGTGTGTGTTTATATGTACAAAAGTGTGCATAGATCATTCAGCGGTTGTATTTAAGTTGATATATGTTCTCAACTCACACTTTAGTTATCTAGCAGTTTTGTACAATAGAATTAATTTGTAAACACTGCCAGAATATTTTCTAGCTCGTTTGTAATTTTTTAAGAGTTTTTTTAGATGTGGACCTGTAAATAAAATTGTAGTATTTAAAGTTTTAGTCCATGGAAGAGGAAAGTAAAAGTTGTGTGAGCATGAAGATTTGTGAAACAAAGGGGCACTTTGTGGGGAAAGAGAAAATGAAGACTAATGGAGATCATCTTTTTGTACAAATTAAACACTTGTCCCAATGTGCGTGGGCAAAATACTAATCTAATTTAGCTTTGCATTGTATGCTAGTTGAAAAAAAAACCCTCTGTAAAATACTGTAAAAAAAAAAAACAACAAAAAAAAGCTTTTATGGTGAGTTTTGTAAATAGATTTATTAAAGGATGACCTGTTCTCTAGCTGTGATCTTACCACTTCAAATGGGTGTAATTTGAATAAATTTTGTATGGTAATGAATCAATAAAAACAATTTTTTAAAGAGTTTAGATTTGTATATGGCTTGTAAAATTCTTGTTGCGCTTCGCTTGGTGCCCAAAATGCATCTTCTTGGAACCTCACTGTGAACGTTTCCAGCATCAGTGCTGCCCCCTCACTGCACATCATCTATACTTCACTTTGTTTTTCTTGGTCTTCCTGCAATACTTTCAATGCCTTTAAATAAGGAGTGAATTCACTACAAAACAACAACAAAACACATGTGAAGAGGCACAGCAGGAGACCTAAAGGTGAGGATAGCGATGGTCTACTTTCATTGATTTCCTGTATGAATTATGAACTAACTTCTTGCAAAATTCATACTAATTCAGTTATTCTAGTATTAAAAGACATAAAAAGAATTGGTGAGGATTGATTTTAATGTTCCTACTGGACCTCCAGCAGTGTCTCAGCAGTATCATTGAAAAAAAAGGTCTATGTGCTTGTGAGTCATCTCCATCAGTCTCCTACTCTAGACATGAACTTCTGAATCTTGTTGCTGCATCTACTCAAATGTGAAGAGGAGAGGGGAGGGGAGAGGCACTGGGATGATAAAATCCCGGTAATCTGTGAAAGCAACTGTTTTCTCTCATTATGTACCTGACTACTCTTGAGCGCACAGCAATACTGAAAGGAAGGTTACAGAGAAGACGGTCTGTTCTTCTGTAGTCTTGATAAAGAATAGAAGGGGACAAGAGGACTGCTGCTCTCTCTGAGCCCGGGGAAGCAGAGATGACAACTAACATCAGTTTCTCTGTTCTCTTGACTGCCATAAGCACTTTCTGCTTAGCTCCAAAGTCTGTTGCTGCTTGACACTTTTCTTGTCATTTTCTCTCCCCTCTCTTTCTGTACCTGCCTTGTGAGCTTGAGACGTGTCTAGTTGTAAGAAGAAAAAGAGCCAGCTGAAATATCTAGTTTAGTAAATGGAGTACAAGCTGTTAATTATTCTTCCCTGAACTAGTCCAGTGTGCCTGGCCTTTACCTGTGATGCTAATAGTAATTTCAGGCAGGTTTTATCCTGGCCTATATATGCTGCACTTGCAAAATGGGTTCTGAGAAACCTATGAAAGTCGGGCTGATTGGGCAGCTGCACACTCCTTTACACTTGGAGGTTATTTTATTCCTAGGAACTATTTATCATAGACTAAGGTTTTCAAATGGAAAGCTGGCATATGCTTCCTTAGCTGTTTCCTTTCCGTGAGGATGTTAGGGATATTCCGAAACAATTGAGGATGCACTTTCAACAAACCATGAAGTAAAATTGAGGAATCTTAAAAAAAAATAAAAAATAAAAAAAATAAAATAAAATAAAAAAAGGTTTGTGAGGTTCCAGACTGTACCTAATGCTGCAAAACCTCTAATGTCTCAGGAGGTCAGTTACCCAGACCGGCTGGGGACTCTGAGTTTAGCACCACAAAGCAGCCACTCTGCAGTAAGAAGTGAGGGGTGCGGGCAGTTCGGAAGGGGTGTCATCCGGAGCTGTTCGTAAGGAGCTCAAGGACTGCAACGTGCACATTTTCCCGTCTCCAGAAGACCGATATTATACTGGCAGCAGCTGCCCCTTAAAAGCAGTTTTCCCGGGTGGGTATGGACACGCTCTCTTCCTGCAGCCATGTGCTGCCTGCTGGGGCACGACCAGCACTGTGTGTGCAGCCTGGCTTGTTTCTGCCTCTAGAGGATTCCCATTTGGGAGCTCCCAAAGCAGTTAAAGAGCATTCCCATGCCAGGGCTGTGCCCTAGGCCTGAAGAGCCCCATGCCAGCGCGAGTGCGGCTCCACGTTACGAATTCCTGGCAGGGGGACAAAGCAAGGCCGCAGCCGGCTCATGCTGAAACTGATCAGCATGCCCTGTTTATTTACGTCCCCGGGGACGGGGCACGGGCAGCGCTGCTGTTATTCCTGCCCGGGAGCTGCTCCCTGCAGCCGGGGCCCCGCGCGACGTGTGCCAAGGCCGAGCGGGCCCCGCAGGAGCAGCGCCCGGCTCCTCGGCCCGCTTCCCATCCGCCTGGCTCAGGGAAGTCAAGGAGGCTCCCTTGCCCTAGCCAGGGTGGCTGTGCAGGGCTCGGAACAGAGACCTTTGGGCCATGAACCGGGGGAGAAACACTCGGGGAACTGAATATGGGAGACTGAAACGAGCAAGGAATGGGTCAGCCTGACAAGGAAGCAGTTACTAGAGCGCTAAGAGTAGTAATAAACTTATATTGCTGTTTACTGACATACTAAGGCCTACTCACACAATATTATGAAAGTAACTTTTTAAATAGATTAATACAAATACTGTTTTTTTTTTTTACTTCTGTTTTTCCTTTTTTTTTTTTTTTTTTTTTTTGTGGCTCTGCAAAACATTTCTGTGTTTACATAAAGATCGATGCAAAATGCAAATCTATCTTAAGCTATAACAATGATTCTTATCACTAGGCCAGGGTGATATTAATAGTGCTCGGTCCTGCTTAGAATTCTTTGTTCTTAAGGACTGACTTAGCTGAAGTGCTTGCTTCTTTCTGCCCCCATTTTCCTTTTCAAATCTCCCCCGTTGCTTTGTTTTCATAGTTACGCTTTCTTTTGCCTTAAACTTGTCATATAAGTGTGACATAAAAAAACGGATCATTTTTAAGAAAAATAAGAGGAAGGGGAAACGATATTCAAAGGTAGAATTTGGCAAGTTTTATGTGCTTGTAGACCAATATTTTGGTCTACAAAATGGGCTTTCATTCACTTTCCCTCCTGCTCAAGGGGCACTATGCTATCTAAAAAAGAAAATATTAATCCCCAGACTCCTCCTAAAGAGACTAACTTATTGTTCAAAATGTAATTATAAGAAATCATGACCTCAAGTAGGCCACCCCAGAATAAAAAAATACATTAAAGATGCCATATAAGTTATCTTTTGAGGTAAACTGATGAGGTAAACTGCATATATTCAAAGCAAAATGGTAAAATTATGCTCACCCTTTGTGTCACTTTGTCTGCAAGGAAACTATACACTTAACAATATGGTAGCTTCGACCCCAACCTTAGCCAGACAAATTTAAGCACTCAGACCAACAACTTCCAAAATAATTAACCAGAAAACCTCCTATTCCCTTGGCATTTGATAAAATCAGTGCTGGAAACGTTAGTCACCCAAGGTTAAATATTTAGACCAATGTCCTCCAAAATGATTAACCAGAAAGGTTGTTAAGATCTCTGTATTTCCAGAAAAAGAAATGAGGAGGGGAAAAAAAAAATATAAAAGCCATGACCACCAAACCCTAAAACAACATGTTGTGGCCATGATTGGGATAAATAGTTCATCACTCGCTTGGATCACAGCTCTTGTGTTCTCGGCAACATTTGGGCAGTTTTAGAGCAAAACAGCCTTGCAATGTGGCATGTGCAGCTAATGCAGCCGTGGGGATCCCCTGCCGACCCCACCAGGCACGCTCGTGTTTTTAAACACGTCATTAAAACGCTCCTTTCCGTTTATTTTTATTTAACTGGAACTCTGCGCCCGCGCGGCCGCGGCCTCCTGTGCCGCGGGCACCTGGCGCGCAGCGCGTTGCGCCTCCCGCGCTCCGCCCAACAAGTTTGTCCGCTCCGCGGCGCCGTCGTCGGCTCGCTGACGTATAAGTGCGGCGCGGGGGGAAGAGAAGGGGTGACGCGGCCATGATGGCGGAGCGCGGCTAGGGTGAGTGCTGTGGGACCCGCTCCTCTCCTCTTCCCTCTCCCTCCCGTTCCGCGCGGCGGCCGTTGCGCGCTGCCTTGTTGCTCGGGGTGAGCGGGGCAGGGAGAGAGGGGAGGCCCTGCCTGGAGCACAGGGAGTTTTCCTTCTATGGAGACATCGTCAGTGCTTTTATTTACCAAAATGCTTTTTATTTTTATTTACCCACCCTAAGGTTCTGTGGGTAAAAGCTTGACAGTGTAGGTGTAGTAAATGAGTTGACTGAGCTTCCCTTTTGCCTCTGCCCTTTCAGTCTTAAAGCCCAGGTGCTGCAGCTGGGGTGTGTGCTGGAGTCTGTGTGTGCCGGCTGGTCGAGATGAGATCTCTTACCTGACTTCTTATTTGTAGTGTTCCTGTGTGTTGTATGCTCCAAGAAGAGTGTATGGTATCTGTTTAAAAAAAACCCAAACCATTGAAAGTTTAATAAGTTCTTACTGTTACTCGGGCTTTTCAAGATAGCAAAGCCTATAAAGTTGTTTCCTCCGTTGTATTGTTGGTTGTTCTCTTTCCACTTCTTTGTTAGAAATTGTAAAGTCCTGATGGAAGGTTCTGAAATCTAGAAGAAAAGAAGGCTTAAATAACTTTAGTACAATAAAAATATGGAAAAAAGTGATAGTTAAGGAAGGACTCAGATAAGTACCTCTGCTCAGAAATGGGTAGGAGAAATTTGGTGAGTGTTTGGCTAGAACCTTGCCCGGAAGACACCGTATTTACAGCATCGTCTGGAGGTTCTGTGCAGGCACAAGTAGAAAACTGAGATTTCTGTATGAGAATGAAGAGCACTTGCAGAGCAGCCTGTTTGCCAGTTTTGTTTGTTCATGCTGTGCTTTCTTTTTTCCAGAATCATTGTCTGAGAGGATTCAAACCACACCTTAAAAGGTATGACCTCTGGTTTGTATTCTTTCTTTTATGGGACGCTGCAATCAATTCTGTATGTTGTTTTGTTATATCAGATATGTTTCTAAAAAAAAAAAACACACAAATCCTTGCTTAGATTGTACAGCCAGTTCATATGTCATTTTTCACACTGTGAACCAGTAAGAAGAAAGAGATCCTAATTCAGAAATTTGGAATTCCAGGTTCTTTAGTTAGGGAAGGATCTCTGCTGTATTTTTTTCCTTTTTTTCTTTCTCCACCTGCTTCCTGTCTTTTTTTGCTCTCGCTTGTATCTAGTGCAATTCAGTCTCTTATTTTAGTGAGGTACAGTGCTAGTGCAAATTGTCATGTGGTGGGTTGTTTTGCTGCTGTGGGGATCAGCTGCCCAGCAAAATAACTACCTAATTTATTTAGAGAGTGCAACATTGGAGATAGCTTGATTAAATGAGCCTTGTGTGAGGACTGGTGGTGTGCATGTTTGACTGAAATGGAAAAATGACTCTCTGTAGGCCCAGAAATGACAATTATTGTGAATTTTCAGATGTGAGAGACTGTAGCTTAGAGTAAATAGTCTTTTGATAGAAATGCTTGTTTCAAGTCCTTCGTGAAAGTTTTACTTGTTTTAAAAGTCAAATGCTTGAATATGAAGATTCTAGAAGTTAATGCTGAGGCTGCTCTCTGTCAAAATTAAATAGTCCTGTTCCTTAGCATGTATCATGTATTACCTATGCACCTGAAATCAATTAAATATACCACTCAAATTCTTACTCTGTTTTTACCACAGCTGAAGCCTTTACAGTCATACCTTTCCCAGCACATTTTTTTTTTTGGTATGTGTGGGTTGTTTTTTTAAACTCCTGTCCTGGAAAATATTCTTTCTTATCGCTCAAAATAATAGCTGCTTCTTTCAGCTAAATGCCTACTTTTAAAGGTAATTGTAAAGCAAAAGACTCAGTAACATTAATTCATTAAATTTCTGCACTATTGTAGTTGTTCTGTCTGGGATTTTTTGTGTGTGAACTTCTACATTAGCTACTTATCCCAGTATTTCCACTTCTTTATGGCTAGACTTCTGACAGTTTTCTTTGTTCTTTGCTGCATCTTTCTTTTAAAGATCCTGATTTTTTTTTTTTTTTTTTAATCTGGAAGGAAACTAAGTACTTAAATGTCTTATAGGACAAAGCAGATGCTTTAGATATTCATTTTACAACTTTCATATATACATATTGTAAATTGTTGGAGGTCTTACACTGATGTATGTTTTGCAAAATTGTCAGATGGTCATACTCTAGGAATGAGCATTTTTAAATATTTCAACATCTGAATATATCTTGGAGGCCAGCAGCATGAATTGCTTGTTCCTGAAGAACCTAAAGAAATTAGGATCTTGTTTTTGTTCTTCATATTAAGCTAGGATAGTACTGGATTGTTTTCTTTGAACTTGGAGAAATGTTTTTGAATGTTTTTCCATACATACTTGTATGCCCTGAGATTTTTTTTTAAAGCAAGCTTGCAATGTCGTGTGGGGTGTTCGTGGCTGTGAGGGTGTGCAGGGGGTGTGTGTCTGTAAGGAGGTGTAGCCTCCCGTGTAGGCTCTTGAATATTTCCCATTCTTCTCCTGAAAAGTAACTGGTAGTGTATCCATCATATAACCTAAAGTTAGGATTTTGCTATGATGCCTTATAAGATAAAGAAGACTTGTATCTTTAGTGTGTGTGTGGTGTCAGAGAAGCTGCTGGATCTCTCCTTCGGAGGATGGCAAGATGCAGATGAGCTGAAAAAAACTCTGCAGGGTTTGTAGCTCTCTATCTGTGTTTAAGGGATCTTAGAGGGGGGGGAGAGAGAGACTATTGGGAAATACTCTAGACAGTCATTTGTTGCTGATATGCTGCATGTTTCTCCTGTGTATGATATATTGCAGGTATATGTAGAAACGTGCCTCATTCTGAATTGTATCTGATTCTTCCAATGTTTGCTGACATCAGTCTTTTCTAATGTTTCTTCAGGATGCCTGCTGCCTGTGAGTCAGTACTTGAAGATATTGAGGATATTGTGTCTGCACAAGACTTGAAGCCACATGAGCGACGCTCTGTGAGAAGGAATGTTTTTCCAAAAGTGCGAAAACGCAGCTCACACAAAGATATTCAGGCAGATGATGATCCCCCAAGTGACAGGTAAATTCTTCCGTCAGCCTGTTCTTGCTTTCCTTCTCAAATCTCTTGTGTGCTGTCAGCTGCTAAAAGTAAAGTATAACTTCTTATTACCTCAGAATGTAGCATCTGAAGGAATTTAAAAATTACTAAACTAGTTTTTAGAAAATGTACTGGGTAACAAAAAATTGTTCTAGACAAATGTTTTGTGCACACCAGTTGTGACTGATATTGATTAATGAAGTAATCAAACTGGAAAAGTGGCTCCTGTTACTTGTAGGAGAGATTTTGTAAGTGTAAAGCCCTTAGGAGAAAATGTGTGCTTCAGCTTTACTAGCTAATTGGAAGCTGAGCTCTTCAATATCCGGTCACAAAGTGCCTGTTTGGAGGTGTGGGATGAGAAATAAAAACAAAATTCTGAGTGAGAGTATTGATGCCAGTACCACAGTACTTACTGAGACAACTTTATTTTGAAAAGTCTTTTTTTCCCTTTGGGAAGGGAGGGAATCCAGGAAGTAATGAAGTCTATTAGTATTAAAATTGAAACTGTGTTGCATTGGAAACTTGAATGTAGTGAGCATAGATACAATGTATCTATTCACGTGGGGTACAAGGTTCATTCTTAGATTAATTGTTTATTCAAGCCCAAGTTTAAGAAGGGGCCTGAAATGTTTTTTGGTCCTCTTGGAGGAGGTAGGTATTATGCAAACTGTAAACTTCAGCCTTGTCTAAAAGATCTGCTGTAATTCAGAATAATCAACGTAAATAAGAGGTGAAATAAAAATGAACTCTCTCTTGTCATCTTTAAAATGGAAAAACAGTTCTCTGGTTACAAACAGTCTCCCACCCTTTAGCCCGAAACTTGTAATATCTGAAGAAAATTGGGGGAGAGTTGCTAAGGAGTTGACAACCCTAATCAAGCAGTACTTTTTGTGCGTGCTGAAAGTGCTCTAGTGAACTACTTCTGAAAGAATTGTTTTCCTTTGGTGGCAGTAATAAGCAGTAGTGTTCTCTGGTGCCTTTTTTGTGTGTGTGTGGAACATGATGAACTTCTTGCTGCAGTGGAATTGAGTAAGTAGCATAGATGAACTGTCACCCATTCTGGTTCCTGCTGTGCTTCAGAGATTTTTTTGTTTTGTTTTCTGTAAATTTCAAGTTGGTGCATAAATTGCCTCTCATGAGAGGGGGAAAAAGAATGTATGTCTGGAATGCATAGAAAAAAATTGAATTTCATTGATATTTAAAGGAGATTTACAGAATTACAGAATTCTTGTATTATGAAGTCTCCATAGTATTATTTTTATTAGAAGTATGGCTCCCTGTGAAACAGGCACCAAATGCATTGGCTGTTTTTTAACATTTCTTTTTCCCCCCAAAGTAAAAAGCATTGAATGTGTGTCATTTAGGCAAGAGAAGACCTAAATGCTGCATGTTGACACACATCTATTTAATAGTTTAGTCTTAGTGTTCTATCAACAGATTCTTATTTCTGGCTAGGGCAAGTATCTTTTGCAACAAAAGAACAGATGGGCAGGGCAAAAACCCACCCAGATTTGGCATTATTTTACTAGCATATTGAAGTTTCAGTAGGAGTTTCTTGTCAAATAACTTTTTTCAGGCCTGTTTTTATAATGATTTCTGTCTTCTAGCTCAATGGTACAAATTTGCTAGGCTGCCTCTAGCTCTGCAAGGCTGCAGTATGGACTGTCAGATGTTGCTGCTGTTGGTGGCTCGCTTGTGTTAAGGATATGTAACATATGCTTGTAAGGGTATATAACATATGCTTGTAAGGGGGGAGCAATGGGAGCACTGAAGGGGTGCAATAATACCAGAAGGTTTTGGGTTGTCTTTAACACTGTGGTTGCAGATAGCCGTGTTTCAGTGTAGTCACATGGAAGTCATTTGTTAATGATACCATAAGTTTTGCACAAAAGTAATTTGTTAATGATGCCATAATTTCCAAAAGGTAGAGTTTTAGTATTTATATATATTATATTTATATATGGTGTACCTTCCCCTTTAAAATCTTTTTTAAACCGCTATATTAAAATTGCACAATGGCATCTTTCTTTTTTAGCTGTTTCAGGGTTATTACTGTTTGTAGTGACTGTATTTTTTTGAAGAATTATAGTTAATTGTATTTATCCAGTGGGCCTAAAGGCAAAGCTTGTTTGTCTTTCATTTGCCTTCTTGATTCATTTTACTCAACAGCATTATTCCTGGGGCTCAGAAAATCTGGATTCGCACGTGGGGATGTTCTCACAATAATTCAGATGGTGAATATATGGCTGGACAGCTAGCTGCCTATGGATACAAAATTACAGGTAAAAATATCAGCTAAGTTGCATAATTCCATTCTGTGTTGGAAGAATGTTCAGAACTTGCGAGTGTCCATATCTATATATTTTTAATACTCTGAATTACAATTTGTTAAGTCCTCATTTGATATCTTTCTCTTTAGGTTAGTGTAGTCAAAATATTTTCACAAGTTATTTTGTGTTCTGAAGTGAGTATGTGGACAGAAAACATGATACAGTTCTTATCCAAGACATCCAGTTGGTACCTGTGGGTAAACTTGATCAGTTCTAGTATGACTTCCTAAACTGAAGTGAATTCTAATGCAGTGCTAAAAGCTAAGCTACACTTGTATATTTGGGTATTTAGCATCTTTTGATAACATAAATCATTAGGAAATTCTTGGCTTTTTTTTTTTAAATTTTGCACATACCAAAGAAAAGACATTCCCTCTGGAATCTTTGATGGCAAGTTTCAAAATAAGCATTTACATGTGTTTCTCTTTTTAAGTCCATCTTTAGGAAACTCAGACACCATCTATAGCATTAAAAAATGGTTTGCAGCAAATCAGAATGTTGGGGGAGGAGATGATGTGGTTGGTTGACTTGGGAATGTTACTTGTTTCTTTTATTTAGTTACTTTTCTTACTGAGCTGACAGTTACTCGGTGATACATAAACAGGGATTTCTTCAGGAACAAAAAGGCAACCTTGTTTCTTATCAAATCGTGCTGCTACTTTGACAACATAAGATTCAAAAGGGGAGTCCTGTTCCATCTGCGCTGAAGAAAAGATGGCATCCTGTATTATGATTCTTCTGATTTGAGATTAAGGAAGTGAAATGCTTTCCTGGGACTAAGTAGAATGCTAGTTTTGAAGGTGGGTAGAACAGCTACGTTCTCCTGGCAGGCAGCTGTGTAACAGGCGTTGTGCAGAATGTGGTGCCTTTGGTGGGACCTCTGCCTGTTGAACTGAAGTGAAACGTTTGAGAGGGAGTGAAGGCAGAATCCAGCTGGCGATTGATCTGCCCGTGTCGGTGGAACCCAAGTGAGTAGAGAGGGAAGCATGTTGTCCTTTAATGAGGCTTTTGCTGCTGGAGCAGAGTTAATTAGTTCTGTTCAAGTAACTTGTTTGTTTTTGAGGGAATGGTGAGTATGGTGGAGCTGGAATAGTATAGGATTGTATCCAGTGGATTCCAAGGAGCTGAAAATAGTATTTCTATATTTATGTGAAGAGTTTAAAGCGTTTTCTCCAACCTTTCTCCTGTCACCTCCACAAATTAAAAAGGAAGACTTGAGGTTATGCTGGCCAGATTATTTTTTTTCTAAATGCAAAAAATACTCAAAAGAAAAGCTGGTGTAGAAAACTGCAAACACAAATTCATGACAGTTTGACAGGGAATTATTATTTGAGTGCCTTTGTACAGTTCACGACTAGCCAGAATCTAAGTAGAAATCTAATTTTATTACTTCAAGATTTTGTCTTGTGTTTAAATTTGCTGCCTGCTTTTAAGGAAAGAGTATGAAGTTGTCTCTTCTGATGCTGTTTTCCTTGGAAGTGTTTTATTCTTGAATTTATAAGTATCTTTGAAGAATTCAATGTCATCCTTCAGCATCAACATCCCATTTTCCTTTTATTGCAGTTGTTCCTTCCGTGTTTTTCTAAGCCATTTAATCTAGAAATGAGATGTTGAATTTCTGGAAGACTGAACTATTTTAGAGGAGCAGGGTGATGCTTGAATTGCTGATTTAAGTCTGAAGTGGGGAGGCTGTCTTTGCAAACAGGTAGAGTGGTGGTCCAGAAGTGTTTGTAGCTATTTCTGAAAGGCTACAATTGAGCTACTGCTTTGCCCTGTTATGGCTGTCTTGGAGTAGGGCTCATGCTGCTCTCAGCATAGCAGCTCATAAAAGCTGCTTGTATCTCTGCCTGTGTCTCTGTTCTTCTCTGTTAGAATTTGTCTGAGAGGTTTGCTGAAGGATGGGGGAAGAATTCCCTGATATATGTAAGGTGTGTGCATATATATATTTATAATATATATATTTCACTATATATATATTTCTTACCTGCTCTTATTTCAAAATTACTTGTGACTTTGAGATGCTACTACAGATCTGTTTCAGTATAAGAACTAAAAAATAGAAGTTGCTGCAGTTGGGACAAGAATACCTAGAGAGTACTTCTGGCAATAGTATATGAAGATTGACTGCTGTGTTCTGGTCATTACTAAATCGATCCCTGATTTAGCCTCTCTATGTTTATGTGTGTGTGTTTTATGTCTATAACCTGCATAGTATAGTGCTGAAATGGTAAGCCATAATTACTCAATTTAATCCAAGAGAACAAGAAAGTGGCTACAAATTTTGACTGAAGTGTGTTTTCAAGAATTCTCCTTAATGTTCTTTTTCATCTTCATAGGCTGTTAATGAAGCTGGAACAGATTACAAGTATTGCAAGTGTAATAGCTGTATGTGAGCAAGTGGGGCAGTGAAGAAAGCGGTTGCCTTTCTGCTGAAAGCAGTGATGCTTCTGGTGACAAATCTGTAAGCAACAGTGTCTCCTCCGTTACCCTTTGGATTATTGGTAACATCCCTCAGGGTTTGATGCTAAGACTGATGCTGTTTAATAGAGGTGTGTGATGTTTCTCAGCTGGATGTGCTCACCTGGAGGAAGTGGTTGATGGGCTGGAGATTTGGTGCTGTTCTTCTGAGGGACCCCAGCAGGCTGGGCAGCAGGGCTAAGGGGCCACATGACACTGAGTGAAAATGAGCACAAGGCTGCATCTTGGATGCAATAACCCTGCCTGGTGGTAAAGGTGGGAGCAGGCAGCCTAGCCAGAAAGCGTTTTTTTCCAGAAAAAGACTTCCAGGTCCAGGTAAACATCAAGTTCAACATGAGTCATCAGTGTGCTCTTCAAGTAAAGGTGTCTCTATCTAGGGTTCTGTTAGCAATGAATTTGCCAGCAGGTGCAGGGGAGTGAGACCATTGATCTGGGCCTTGTGAGGCAACATCTGGAGTGCTGCAGGCAGCACATCAGCCTGTGTCTGCTTCTAGTTTCTTCCAGAAAGGAGAGACACTCATATGCTGGAGTGAGCCCAGTAGAGGAGCACCAGAATGGTTAAGGAGGTGGAGCCCAGGATAGGTAAGGAGAGACACAAAGAACTGGATTTCTTTTCCTCCTTTAGAACAGCAGCCTAACAACATATCCTGGTTATAGATAGCAATTCCTAATGGGAGGATATGGAGAAAATGGAGATAAATCTCTTCTCAAAGGTGCTCAGTGCAACAAGACAACTCACTCTAGGTGACCCTGTGTGAACAGGAGGATTGAACTAGATGACCTCTGAGGTCCGTTTCAGCCTTAAGCATTCTATGATTCTATGACTTGTGCTCTTGTTGGAGTGACAGGATTTCTGCATTTGGTGCCTAACATCTGCTTTGAGCTGTCTTTCCTATAATAGAGAGGTTGCAATATAGCACATTTCCCAGCATTTTTCTGTACTATCCTTTCTTAATGGAGGATATTGGTTCTGTTTTCTTTCTTTTTCTTTAAATAAAATACAGCTAGACTGTTAACATGAAGAGATTTAACCTGTTACTGTCCTGTTCCGTGAAGTTATTCGGTGGTAGTAGTAGTAGTAATGAATATTCAAACATTCTCTATATAGATGTCCTGCTGATTTTATTTTTTTAATAGTTTGCAATTTTTTGATACATAACTTACACAGTAGGCTTTGCATAAACGTAAGTATATGTAGCTCATTAGAGGCTCTGAATCAGAGCCTCTAATTATTAACTACAGGCAAGGCAGTAAAATCACTGAGTAATTTTTGGCACAACTTTCCCTGTGTGAACTCCCCAGAGCTGAATTTTTCAGTGGTCCTTGAAGACAGAACTTGTAGCTGCTTTTTGGTAGGTCATGTCTTAAAAGACAAGTCTTGAAATTGATCTTCGCTATGTTGAACCACTGAAAAGATATGCAAATAAAAAAAAAACCTTGCCTTTTAAGAGCTGAGATGTAAGAGTTAATGCCTCAGTTTATTGACAGAATTTGTATTAATTTAGTGTAAAAGGGCTAGAAATTTTGGGAAAATACTCAATAAGGAGTCAGATATATCATTGATGTCAGTGTCTTGTTTAAAATAAAGAAGTACTTATTAGCGTATGTTCCCTGTCTGTCCCTGAGTTTTGAGTTAACAATGTTTGCTGAAAAAATTGCTGAAATAAACTGTCTTCTGGGAAATAAAATGTGACCTTTACTTGTAGTTTTTGCTTCTTTGTAAAGGAAAATGGTCAAGTACTGTCTAATGCTTCAAGTTGCATGAGATGAAGAGTGGCAAGAATAAGGAAGAAAAGCAGTGTCAGACTTCTGTTGCTGAATGGAAGTTGCACTAGCACAACTTCATGAATTGACTTGTTTCAAAACTGATCAAAGCATTGGTATAATGCCTTCTGATTATAGAAATAATAAATTTCTGTGCAACACTGCAAAAGTCTTGTTCCAGTACTGTTCCTTCCCCTTCCTTGTTACCTGTTCTGTTCTTGATTGGGGAATTTGCTCAGGAGGTGCAGAAGTTTTCTTGGTAATTTTGTCTGTTTTGAAATGTCTGTTTTACATGCACCCTGTTGGGGCAGTGGCTCTGGTACATGAAAACTGTGGATTGTGCTATATTTTTTTCCACAGCAGAACACAAACTGTGTTGCAGAGAGGCAGTGTAAATCTACAGTATGCAAGCTTTGGAGCTGATGAGTGTCAGTAACTGTGTGAGCCTTGCAAAAGGCAAAGGGAAGCCAGAGGAAGAGCTGCACCTAATGCTGTACTCATTTTGGCAATGTGTGGGTAGGCAGCTGGATATACATGTACTGCTCTGTGGGAATATGCTGTTTCTTTATGTAAGTCTGAGCTACCCAGAGCTGTGTGGATGCACCAGACAGAATAGGCACCCAGCAGTGTCATGGTACTTGCTCATGTTCGGGAGATACAGCTGCTGTTGTCTTTATGGGTCCTGCAGCTGGTTTTGGTTCTTTTGGAGC